ATTATATACATACAAAGACTCCTTGGCAGAGCCAATTTTGACCCCAGGGCTATAATTTGAACAATAGTGATAGAGGTCTACTACACAGGTAAAGGTTTCATGCCAAATATCAAACATGTAGCCTTTGTCAATCCAGAGGAGAATATTATTAAGTTTTCTTTTTTATACATGTTTATACATTTAAGGAAAACCTATGACACCCTGGTGCTATTTCACTAGGGGCAACATTTGAACAACTTTGGTAAAGGACGTACTGATGATATTATTTACCAAGTATCTAAGCTCTAAGCCATAAGCCTTCTGATGAAAAGATTTTTAAAAAGTTTTTGCTATATACATATAAGGAAAACCTTAATATATTACCCAAGGGGTGGGGCTAATTTTGACCCTTGGGCTGTAACGTGAATAATCTTGGTAGAGGTTCACTACCAAATGTTTCATAACAAATATCTAACCTCTAGCCTTTATCAATTCAGAGGAGAAGATTTTAAGTTTTAACTACATACATATCAGGAAAATCTATGAACCCTAGCGCAGGGCTAATTTGACCCCCGGGGTATAATGTGAAAATCTTGTGAATGTCTACCAGACAATGCCTTATGCAAAATATCTTAGCTCTATGCCTCATTTAAGTCTTTGAACAACTTTGGAAGCCCTTTACTCATGGAACAACCCTGTCAAGTTTGGTTGAAATTGGACAAAATGTTTTCAAAAGATGTTTACTATATTATGTATAAAACACACACACATGCACGCATGCATGTACACACACACAAAGAGGGGAATCGCTATATGCCAACACAGCATCTACATGCATCAGACCAGCAGTCCAACACATTTTCAAAAAATAAAATGACAATTACATTGTTGATGTGTTGAAAGCCTTGTGAAATTTAATAAAAGCTTTAAACTTTCATTTTTTCATTCCAAACTGTAATCAAACAATATGAGGTATGGTACATGGTATGGTCAACCAAGTAGATCTCATTGGAGCTAGGTGGGGAGGAGTGTGGGAATCCAAAGATAAGTTAATCATGCTTAAAGCATGTGGATTTACTGAGTGCATCAGAAAGTATTTAAGCACTAAGTTGAAATTTATATGTGTTAATATGCTATATATCAAAATTAAATACTCAATATCTTTTTTTTATGTTAACTATAAACTTAAAGAATTAATAAATTTCTTTTATATAATCTATGAATTCAGTTTATAGTATTTTTTTGTTTGACTTTTATCACAGTCTGTGCTTTTTGTGATACCATACTATTGTTTCTGGCACCTTTACTCCAAGTAAGCAAATGAAGTAATTGAAGACCAGGACCTTGAGTGTACTTCCTTTCTGAGTGGGGGATCTGAACATCACTGTCTGTCCTGTTCACCATGTCTCGATATCGGATTTGTCTTGGTACAGACCACCCTGTCTGATGGTCTGCAAGGTCCCGCATGTATGGCCAGCTGGGACTGTTTAATGTCACCGAGGAGAACTCCATATAGTTTTTTGACAATCAATAAATATTTTACAATCCAATAGGAAAAAAATGATTCATGTAGTATTTTATTTAGCTAAATCCTTTCAAGCTATCATCATCGTGTACAATAAAACTTACTGGTAAGGAGTTAATTAAGGGCTTCTCTCCCTAATACAAAAAAGGTCAAATTAAGAAGTAGTACTGTTACAATGCCTTTTCAAAAATAAAGTCACATATAGACAATAATTAAATATTTAACAATTTTGATTTAATACAAATAAATCATTAATATATGCAGTCCAGCCAATAATGAGCTGAAAATATTTATCAATTTCAAAGAGTGAGAAAATAAAATGCAGCCTGACTAAAACTCAAACCAGAGACACTCAGAATACCATACCTCAGCACTACCAAAAAACCCAGAACCCTTGGAATACCATACAGCAGCTCTACAACTTAAATATTTTCAGTCTCATAGTTCTTTCTATGCATTGACATAATCCCCAGCATATTGAAATTTTTCCTTTTTCATTGGAACACTTAAGTAACAAAGTGACTTGATTCAGTTATGTAAACATATATTGGACTCTAAAAGTAACAGGGTGAAAATATCACAGGGTGAGAAAAAATGTGCAGTTTGACCGGAATCAAACCTGAATCAGAATATTATACATGTATGTGGGCTGTACTGACTCACTCAGATGAGCTATCTAGCTGGCAATGTCAATAATCTATTACACATGGGCATAGAAGTCAAAGAAACATTCATTGATAATGACCCATTATTAAAAGTAAATCATATCAGAAACATCCCTTGAAAATGATATCATTTCATTTTTGACCCACAGTTATTACCACTACCTCCTAATGGGCCTAATCAAACTAAGCCTGCAGAATTTTATAATTTTGCTGTCTGTCAGACATGGCAATTTCTTATGGGTTTCATCTTTATCTCCATTTGAAGGGATGTAACTCATGTTTACTAAATAGTTTGTTCTTATCTGTCTATCTTAGTCATTACAGACTAGTCTAGATGTATGTAAACATAAAAAAATTCGTTTATATTAACAAACAGAACAGTAGATGAAAAATTTACCAGTTGGAGAAATTCATCAAATGGATGGAGGTCCAGGAATGATGAATATGGATAGAAATATTTTTTTGGACTGGCTTTATGTACTTCTAGTTATTGTGGCAAGGAATTTTATAATTATTCAGTTAAACCTGGTTTTTCAGTTAAGATTTCATCATAAAAAGATCTTCAGGACTCTAAATAAATTCATATTTGTGGTATCAGGGGAAATTAAATTACTATTAAATGTGCTAAATCTGATCATAAACATCAATCTAAATATTTAGAATGTACCTGTAGGTGTTGAGTGTCATATTTCACTCTTCACTTCAACCCTTTTTTATGCTCCCCGAAAAATTTCGGGGGAGCATATAGTCGTCGCCTTGTCCGTCCGTCCATCCGTCTGTCCGCACTCACAGGAGAGTAATTATGTGGCTAGAGAGACAATAGGTAACTGTTCTTTCTCTTTGATGTCATTCATTCCGTAATGCTTTTATGTAACTATTTTCTATTGCGTGGCTAAAAAGAACAATAGAGAGAACAATAGAGTAGCCACATAATTACTGTCCTGTGAGAACATCCGTCTTTCCGTCCGTCCGTCCGTCCGTCCGTCCATCGTCCCTTTTCTTGTCCGGGACATAACTTTGAAACAAAAAGAGGTATCAACGTGAAACTTTGTAGGTAGATAGATCTCATTGAGTAGGTATGCAGTGCACAAGAACCGTAGCTCTGCCTTGCCTAATTTTTTAATTATCCCCCTTTGTTTATTTTTACACTTTGAACTTTGTCCGGGACATAACTCTAACAGTATAAGAGGTATCAACATTAAACTTTGTAGGTAGATAGATCTCATTGAGTAGGTGTGCAGTGCACAAGAACCGTAACTCTGCCTTGCCTTATTTTTGAAATATCCCCCTTTGTTTATTTTACACTTTGAACTTTGTCCGGGACATAACTCTAAAAGTATAAGAGGTATCAACATGAAACTTTGTAGGTAGATAGATCTCATTAAGAAGGTTTGCAGTGCACAAAAACCGTAACTCTGCCTTGCCTAATTTTTGAATTATCCCCCTTTGTTTATTTTACACTTTGAACTTTGTCCGGGACATAACTTCAAAACTATAAGAGGTATCAACATGAAACTTTGTAGGTAGATAGATCTTATTGAGTAGGTGTGCAGTGCATAAGAACCGTAACTCTGCCTTGCCTAATTTATTAATTATCCCTTTTTATTTTTTTTCACACTTTGAACTTTGTCCAGGACATAACTCTAAAACTATAAGAGGTATCAACATGAAACTTTGTAGGTAGATATATCTCATTAAGTAGGTTTGCAGTGCACAAGAACTGTAACACTGTCTTGCCTACTTAAACTTTTGGAGTTATTGCCCTTTGTTCTTTTTGACACTTTGTCCGGGACATTACTCTAAAATTATAAGAGATATCAACATGAAACTTTGTAGATAGATAGGTCTCATTGGGTGGAAGCGCAGTGCTTAAGAATCAGCCTTGCCTTATTTTGAAGTTATTGCCCTTTGTTTATTTTTACTTTTTGACTTTTGTCTGGGACATAACTTTAAAACTATTAGAGATATCAACATGAAACTTTTTAGGTAGCTAGATATAATTGGATAGAACTGTGAAGCGATCCTGCGGGCAAATTGGGCGTGTGATATCATAAGTACATTAATTTACCTCAACAAGATGGTCAGTTTTTGGGATTCGTCTAGTACCAGATTTAGATACTTATTTATATAACAAATATAACAAATATAACAAAAAGAGGTGTTCATCTAATCTAAATTTTATTTACTATGTTCTACATTTATAAAGTTATTTACATCAATGCATGCACAAAAGTTCTTCTTTTTCTAACATCTACAATAACTCGCTAAGTCATCATTGAAAATTCACTTTTTCAGAATAAGAGTCATGAATCATTGTCATTAATATCAACACATCACTTATAATACACGCACTTAACACTTCACTCAACTTCAATTACTACCACTTCACTAAAGTTCACTTACTAACACTTCACTTAACTTCAATTACTAACACTTCACTAAAGTTCACTTACTAACACTTCACTTAAGTTCACTTACTAACACTTCACATAAGTTCATTTACTAAAACTTCACTAAAATTCACGTTAAAACACATTACTGAAAATTCACCTTATAGCACATCACTAATGATTCACTTAACTAACACTGTTTCAAATTTGAATCACTTTTCATTCACTATTTCACAAACTGAAATATTTCACCAACATGGTGATCAAGGAACTTCACAATCATTATACCTATGTAATTTAATAGACAATTTTCTAAGTAGTTAAATCACCAACATGGTGATTAAGGAACTTAAACTTCTTATGTACCGGAAGACAATTTTCTAAGTAGTTAAATCACCAACATGGTGATTAAGGAACTTAAACTTTTTATGTACCAAAAGACAATTTTCTAAGTAGTTAAATCACCAACATGGTGATTAAGGAACTTAAACTTTTTATGTTCAGAAAAACTCTAAGTTGTTAAATCACCAACATGGTGTAAATTTCCTAAGTGGTTAATTCACCAACATGGTGATCAAGGTACTTTACAACCTGATTCACTTATACACAAACTTTTCTAAGTACCTACATCACCTTCATGGTGAAGCAGTAACTTAGCACATCTGGCACAAAGATACTAACACTTTATCATAAACAATTTAAACACTATGAATATATGAATTCCATCAAGTTACACAAACTTGCACTTAGAATAATAAGAACTGTAAAACTTAACACATTTCACAAGTTGTTAAATCACCATCATGGTGTTTAAACAACTTTAACATTTACCTCTTCCATAATTAATTACTAGAAAATATTTTCTAGTCAATAAACTGTATTAAATCCAAAGGTCAGTAGAGTGTGAGAGAGAGACTGCACATGTGATGCAGCTATTTATGTAAGACCCACTTGGAATTGACCAATGGGCAGTATTCCTAATCTATTAATAACTTGGACAGGTTATCTACTGATTAAGCAATAGATAATAGAGAGTTGAAGTACATGGTAGTATATACATGGTTTAAACCTAATTATTACAAGAAAAGTTACTTATATTTTCTAAAATGAAAAGTATTAAGATAATTACAATTATATCTTAATTACAAACTTTAATATCAAATTAACAACAAATAACTAGGGTCGTTGCATTGCCCCCCTCCAAATAAGGTTTGGTCCCCAAATGAGTGTTACAGTATGACAAATATTGTAAGTTTGATATTGGTCATGATATGTTCTTTAAACAAAAAAATTCACTTGCTCGATTTTAGTAGCAATTGCTTTCATGAAATCCGGTAATTGATAATACTTTGCTTCATGAAACAGTTCGTACAAAATTCTTGTATCGTTTGGGAGAGTGCGTATATCAAATGAATCTGTCCTAAGGTAATTTAAAACATATTTAAACGTTGATGGATCTCTGTCCAGAAAATATTGGCCATTTATAGGTAGTGTTTCACTGATAAAACGTGCCAGTAGACTTGTAGAGATCTTTTTAAGACTGAATTTTGAAGTTTCAAATAGAGTTCCACCGACATTGACTGCTATTCTCTCTGACTGGACAAGGCCTAAATTTGTCTGATCATTGTCAGATAGTAACAACTTGTTTTTGTCATTATGTGTTATTTTGTCATCTGTTATAGAGAGTGTGACTTTTGATTTAATGCTACTGACAGAAGATGAGGAGCTTGATGAGGAGCTTGACATTGACATACTTGATGAAGAGCAACTCTTTTTCTTTTTTGTTTTCTGACTACTGTTGGAGGAATTGGAAGATGAATCAGACTCCTCCCCAATTTCACATTCACTGACATCATCCAAATCGTAACTTATATTTTGATATTCATTCACTTTTGGCAGATTGGTAATATCTGTGTTGCCAGTTGAGAATTGATTCTTTCTCTTAAGATTTTTCGAACCAACCTTACTAATTAGTTTTGGTAATTCAGATCTTTTCCATTCTTGTAACTGTTGATGAACATTTTTCCGGTTTCCGGTCATATCCATTAATTGAAAGTCAGATTCCCTAACATTTCTGCATGGGGAGTGACGTAACACTTGTCTTGAAAAGCTTCTTTTACATATCAGACATTGATATCTAAAGCCTAAATGCCATTCTAATGCGTGCCTTTCTGCAAAGTGATATTTGTTGTTTCTAACATTACCACATGGAACACAAAGATACTGAAAAAAATAAAGAAAAATATGTTTTACTTAATAAGTCTCTGCATATATTCAGGGTAATTTAATACAACATTTAACATGAAATAACTTAATTAAGTATGTCAAAGTTATTCACTTAAATATTTTTTAAACGGTCATGATGCACAACTTTAGGTTTTGAACGTTGAGACATCTGAACTCTATATAACACATCATTAATTTTAGAAAGATCTTTATAAGGTCCATTCCAATGTCTAGCGAATTTACTACAAACACCAGGTTTCACCTGAGGGCAATATAACCATATCAAATCACCTTCACTATAACTATTTTCCACAGCCCTATGGTCATATTTTCTCTTTTGCGTTTCACTAGCAAATTTAATATTTTTACGAACTGAGTTGTGCACAATTTTAATTTTCTTCTCTAACTGTCTCGCAAAATCACTATGTGTTTGATATAAAGGTTCGGGATTTCCTAACACTAAATCAATAGGGAGAGTTAGTTCCCTTCCAAACATAATAGCACTTGGTGAAAATCCAGTACTTTCCTGAACTGACGCATTATAAGCAAGTGTTAACACTGACAAATATTCATCCCAATCTTTTTGATTATCAGAAACAAATTTAGAAATCATTGATTTAATAGTTCTATTAGCTCTTTCAGCTAAACCATCAGACTGCGGACGAAATGCCGTAGTTCTTGTCTTATGAGACCCTAATATTTGACACATTTCTTTAAACACTAAAGATTCAAAATTTGTCCCTTGATCAGAATGTATCTGTTTTGGAACCCCAAATATAGTTATGAAATTTTCTACCAATTTATGCGCTACTGTTTTGGCTTCTTGATTTCTCATAGGCACAGCCACTATCCATTTACTGAAATAATCTACTATTGTTAATATATATTTATGACCCTTAGTGCTACGAGTCATTGGCCCCATCACATCAATGCCAATCCTCTCTAAAGGTTCACCTACATTATATTGTTTAAATTTAGCCATAGCCCGTTTTAAAGGCCCTTTTCTTGCAGCACATTCAATGCATTTATTACACCAATCCGTCACATCCTTCCTCATTGAATACCACATAAATCTTTTTCTGACTTTAAATAAAGTCTTCTTTATACCCAAATGTCCACCTACAGGGGTATTATGTAACTCATACAAAACTTTATGTACCAATATTCTTGGTAACACTATATGTAACAACTGATCACTTCCATCATCACTTTCCCAACATCTATAAAGAATTCTATCTTTAATTTGTAAAGAATCTAAACGATTCCAAAAATACTTTATTTCACCCGACATTGGCGACACTTCTGACCAATGCGGTTTATGATTCTCAACTTTCCATTTCTTTAACATACATATAACATCATCTTTATTTTGTGCCTCAATTATCAACGCATTACTTAAATCCTCACTAACTTGATCTTCATTCATGAAAACATTTGACTTCTCGTAAGTGTGGCCCCTTTCTAAGCCTGTTTCACTCACATCTTTAAGAATATCAAACGATTCCCTTTCTTTTGTCAAACTTTTTGTTATTTCTTCAAAATTCCTACAATCAGCATTTCTAACATTTTCACTCAATAATTTCTGGCACCTTTCTGCACCATTGTTATTGTCTTTAGTAAATTTGTTATGTAACTCAGTACCTAAAGTAAGGGAATTACTTGTGATAACAGCGGCCGTCTGTTTTATATCACTTTCACTCACAATACCACTTCCTTCTCCTTTAACAACACATCTTTCTCGATAAGTTCTCACAAATATATTTAGGACACTTCCGGTCCCTATTTGTGTTCTTAGAACTTTCTTGACCTACATTTCTTTTGACTTCAACATCCTTGCTTAAACAATCTTTTGCATCGTCAAACATGCGACCAGTACTGACTGTGTTAGTCTGGATGACATTAACATATTTCACCTCAGCTCTATCACAATATGCACAATCTTCAGATATACAGGGTCTCCTCGATAATGCATCTGCATTTGAATGAACTCGCCCTGCTCTATACTTAATTTCAAAATCATACGTGGACAAAAATTCAAGCCACCTGGCTATTTGTCCCTCTGGGCTTTTAAAGTTAGACTTCCTTAAAGCACCATGATCACTTCTCACAATGAAGTGATTACCAAATAGATAATGGTGAAAGTACTTCACCGCATTTACAACAGCTAATAGTTCCCTTCTCGTTACACAATACCTCCTTTCAGGCTTAGAAAAACATTTACTGTAATAAGCAACCACTTTCTCTTCTCCATTTTGAATTTGTGACAAGACAGATCCTGTAGCATCCTGACTTGCATCACAATCAATTATAAATATTTCATTTGACCTTGGATATGCTAATAATGGAGCATTGGTTAACTTTTCTTTCAATTTTGTAAAAGAATTTTCACAATCATCTGTCCAGCAAAAGTTATTTCCTTTTTCAGTCAATTTATGTAAAGGTTTGGCTATAGTAGCAAATTGATTAACAAACTTTCTGTAATATGAGCATAAACCTAAAAAGCTTCTAACATCGCGCACAGACCTTGGTGTTGGCCAATTTGACACACTTTTCACTTTATTTTCATCAGTTGATATACCTTTTTCGCTAATCACATGCCCCAGAAACTCAACTTTTGGCTGACACAAAACACACTTTTCAGGATTTAGTTTTATGTTAGAACTTCTCATACGGATAAACACCTCTTCTAATGATTTTATATGCTGCTCGAAAGTACGCGAATACACAATGATATCATCAAGATATATCAAACATTCTTTCCAGGTTAATCCAGCTAAAACTCTTTCCATGAGTCTTTCAAAAGTGGCTGGGGAATTACACAATCCAAACGGCATTACCGTAAACTGCCACAAGCCACTTCCTTGGATGGAAAATGCCGTCTTTTTACGGTCATTCTCTGCCATGCCTACTTGCCAAAACCCAGATCGACAGTCTAAAGTAGAAAACCAAGCTGACCCTGACAGCGCATCTAAAGAATCGTCTATTCTAGGCAAAGGATGACTGTCCTTAATTGTACACTCATTTAATTTCCTAAAATCACAACAAAATCTTATAGAGCCATCGTGTTTTGTAACCATGACAACAGGACTACTCCAAGGGCTATTTGAAGGTTCAATTATTCCCCTTTTTGCCATTTCTTGTATTTCTTTTTCTGCCGCTTGTCTTTTTGCAAGAGGTACTCTATATGGATGTTGTTTTATAGGTCTATTATTACCTGTATCTATTGTATGCTCTATAATATTTGTTTTGCCTATATCTTCATTTGACTTTGAAAATACATCACCATACTTTAACAATATATCCTTAACTATATCTTTTTGATCACATGTTAAATTTTGTGAACAATTTTCATGTAAAAGCTTTAAATGTTCTGGAATAGCTTGGTCATTTAACTTGACTGTATTTACGCTTTTACAGTCATTTTCTTGTGGGACATTCACTTCTTCAACATAACCTATAACCGTATTTTTATAAACAGTGCATGCTTTATTATTCAAATTTATCACTCGAATTGGCAAGACATTTGTTGCACAATTAACTAAACTTTTTCCCACCAAAAGACCACTCTTTTCAGTGTAAGTTACATTTGGTTCAATGACACAATCACTGTCTCCTAAATTCACAGAAGATTTTCCAGGAATAATCATTTCTGTTGTTGGTGGTATAATAACATTTTCGGTAACCAGCACTCTATAACATTGTTTATCAGTTTCTCCTTCACTTGTTGTAGAACATTTTATAATATTGTTACCAATTTTCAATTCTCTTTTGTGTAAATGAATTTCACAATTATATAATTCAAGAAAGTCAATTCCTAAAATACCATCATTTTTAATGTCTGCCAGTAAAATATCATGACTAAACACCTGTTTTTCAAGTGAGATTTCTGCAGTAATTTTACCATAAAAAGGTGCAATATCCCCTGTTGCAGTAAGCATATTTAAATTCACTTTTTCTAATGGTAAATTTAAATTCAATTTATCAAAAACACTTTTATTCAATATGCTTACATTAGAACCTGTATCAATTAAAAACGAGACTGGCCTCCCATGAACATTGATCATAACAAAAAGTCCATGATCATTGGTACTTATGTTGTAGATTAATTTTTCTGGAGTGGACCTTGGGATACCTGCTGAGTTTCGGTCCTTAAACCCGAGCTCTGAGCGTTTCCCGAATTGACTACCTCATTTTCACCTTTCTTAGCTGGGGGTCTTGACACTGTGTGATTTCGAGTGTTATTTCTAGCATAGTTATTTGATACCCTCCTTGTGCTCTGCAATGAGGATTTTGTATAAGTGTTACGAAATACTCATAATCCTCTGTTAAGGATCATAGATTGATAACCTTGACCCTTCAATTTGGCCAATGTTCTTCCATCTGATAATGATAGTTCATTCAATCTTCAGGTCAGTTTTGTTTTCTTTCTGGAAAATACACTTCTCACTGAATGATATCCCCTATTTCTGTCCAGCATTTTTGTGCAATCCAGGCGAAACAGCTATTTCCTCTGCTTCACTTATTGATTTAGGGACGACTTCTCTTAGTCTTAGCCTTATGCTCGGTATCTGGCAGTGCATCTATTAAAATGTTCCATTGCTAAAAGTTCCAACACATCTGTTGCCGCAACTAGGATATGCCTGTCGCGTTAACTTACGGACTGACTGTGCCAATTCTGGCAATGTCTCATGCTTCTGTAAAGTACGAGTCTGTAACTTGGATCTATAAATTTCAGCGCGATGTACTGAACCATATCTGTTTGTAATGCATGCACTTATAGCTTCAAAGCTTTTCCTTTTCTGAGAATCTAATTCACATAAAATTGCCCTAGGCATTCCCATTAA